ATGTTACTGTGTTGGACTGTTTCAAGACAGAACTACGAAGTTGTATAAGAACTATGCTGGCACATTTACAAATGCGATGTTGTCCTTTGTCACTGCTCCAAGCTCACTAATTCCTTTACATTTCATTTTTCGGTGGGTTTTGTGACCAGATAGGGGGACCAGGCTAGGATGGATTCTCTGAAAGTTCAGATTTAGATCAAGTAGAAAAATAGGGCTCCCTGTGGAATCTGTAGAGCTTTAGTGTATGGCTGGGAAATTACTGCAACACCTGAAAGAACATTTGCTCTCTGTAGACTTTAGTTGGTTAAACATGTATAGGCAGAAGGAAAAGTAACACTGAAACTTTTCTGACAGTGAAATACAGAAGCACTTGCTCAGTTTTTCATGTTTTCTTTGTTTCTCTAGCATAGCAAATAGAGGCTTAATGGATAGTTGCTTGGGAAGGAGATTTCCTGGGATGAACACTGTGTTTTGTGCATGTCAGGTGCATTTCCTTTGAAGGGAAGTGGGAACTCATTGAGACAACCACATCCAAGTAGAGAAGCGGCAGATAAACCTGTGGAGTGGTTCATTGCAAGTGTGCACCAGGGAGCCACTAGGTGCCAGTGTTCACTGCCCAGATTTCCCTGCAAGCTTGCCTTTCTCTGAGGGTAACGCTAAAACTGGGTCGGTGGTTTTCATTGTGACAACGTGGTCTGTTGTAAGATTTACTGATTCGTTTGTTCAATTTAAAATCTTTGGCAACAAATGAAAAATAATTTTTTATTGTAAATTTCCTTTTGACTCACTGTCTCAAAGGAAGAGATTTTCTTTCTTTGTTTTCTTTCTTTTTTTTTTTTATTCTAACCATTTTTAGATATTAGCATAGCTACATTGTTGAAAAGAAAAATTGGTCTTAATCACAAGTTGTGTAATTTCTCTAAAATCACAATCATGTAATCATCAATGCATTTTTATGGACTTCTTTGATGCTGTAAGAACTGTGCATTTTAAAAAGAGACTTCTAGTTTCTGTGTTTAAATTCATTTTTCATGCTAGAACAGTTCTGGTTTATGTTCAAAGGACAGTAATGATGAAATGTTATATTTTACGTTTGTAGAGTTATTGTAGTTTCTCTTCCTCTTTGGAGTCTAGTGATTGTAGGATTGCCCAGCTTCCATTAAGAGCTGAATAATCTGGAGTAGTTTCCTGTTGTGAAGGGTGTTGCATACACCCTTTTTATCTGTTGCTCTTCTGTTTGCCTAGAGTTTTATGAGATTGTGTTGGGAGAAGCAGGATTATGGAGGTCAGATCAATGGTTGCTGGAAAATGGAACGCTTCTGACTAAAATGGTTTTTTGCTGGCCATATCCTAGAGTATTGCATCCTGTATCTTTGTCACTTAACTGCTGTTGTAATGGATTGAGAATGGATTAATTTGTTTGGAGGCATATGTATTTTAACTGGGAAACGGGAAAGAAGAATGTTCAGGCAGTGTGTTTGTTTCCATAACTTTAAGTCAATTATCTGAACTGTTCTGAAGCGCTTTGAAAGTGCCTTTGTAGTCCTTTTAGCTAGCAGAGTGGCCCATTTAACACAGAAGGGCAGCCTGGGGCGATTCCACTGATGGCCCTATCAGTTAGTCTATTATAAAAGCTCCGTAGAGAAGGTGACAGTGTGAGTGAGACTGATTTACACAGTGATTGGTTATCAAGTCTCCTAGAGGCTTTCGTTCTTGTTGGCAGAACAGGTATTTTGCAACTAGCACTTTACGTAACATTTTAGGAGTAAGATAAACATAGAAGTTAGAGCTGCAGCCTCTCTTGATGTAGTTGTAAGCCAAAAGCTGAAACTCATGGGAAATCACAGAGGTCATTGCAATCTAATCTAGTACAATTCCTTCATGGCTTATGAAAACTTTATCTGTGTAAGCAATCAAGAGGGTTTTATAGCCTGAGGGGGGCTTGGGAGGGATCTTTGAGCATTTTTTATCTTTTCAAATTAAGAAGTTTGAAATTTCTTACAGATACATAGGACAAGGATGAAAACAGCCTGGGAGTTTACTGCATTGTTTGTTTCTCAAACTTCTTGGTATTTTCCTGCATAGTTAGGCTACTTTACAAGTAACACCTGTCTGTCCAACCTCCAGGCTTATACTCATTACTGCCCATAGAAATTCCTCAAAACCACAAGCGTTTCATCTGTGACCTGACCCAAGCTGACCGCCTTGCTCTTTATGATTACGTTGTTGAGGAGACAAAGAAACAGAAGTCCAGATCTCAGATAACGGAAAATGACAGTGATCTCTTTGTGGATTTAGCAGCGAAAATCACCCAAGGTTTGAAGAATGATCTGTTGTTAAATTTATGGCTCAGAACTTTCAGTTACATGAGTTTGTAAATAGCTAAACAGAATTTATTATTGTTTTTTGGTTTTGTGGTTTGTTTTGGTTTTTTGTTTTTGGGTTTTTTTGTGGAGAGCTTACTGTTCTTAAAAGCTACAACAAAGACCTGGCATCACAAAATACTAGTTTGGTGTCCTTTATCATGTTTTCCTTCTGGGAAAGCCTCAGTGCTCTGCTCTTGGCACATGTATTGTGTGTGTCTCTGTGGATGGATCTTCTGTCTTTGCCGCAGCTGACACCAGGTTGCTTAATGTTGCCAACATGCTGTGCAGCTTGGAACAGTTATTTGTTGTAGGACATGATGAGATTAAAGATTGCTTAAGAGTAAAAGCTGAACAGGAGAGGTTGGCAGTCATCCAGATGGAGCTCTTGAGCAACATACTTTGGTGTTGGTCTGGGACCTCTCATCCCTGTTGAGTCATGGCAGTTTGTAACTACCAAGTGCAACAGAGCATCTGTGTCACCTTGCAGGGCCCTGCTGAGCCTAGGAAGTGTGATACAAAATCTGGCTTTCTCATTCTGTGTTTTACTGTAACACAGGCTTTGAAAACATGACCTGTATTTAGAAGGCATTTGACCAAATCACAAGCCTGTATATTGGTGTGGATCACAGTTTGGAGACTGAGATCACATAACAGCATTTGCTTGCTGGCTTTTTACTTGTGTGTAAACAGCCAGCAAGAAGGTTGGAGGAGGAAAGGAGGAAGCTTGAGTAAATTCAGCCTAGACTAAATACAGGAGGAACTAGAGAAAGAACACAATTATTTCATGTTCCTGAATGTAGGAGGCCTGCATTCCTGCCGGTGCTAACATCCTGCTAATGACTGTTTGTTTTACTCCCAATCTTTTGCTAGATGATAGTCAGAAAGGTCCAAAGTCCCATCTTGAAATTCTGGCTGAAATGCGAGATTACAAAAGAAGGCGGCAGTCATACAGAGCTAAGAATGTTCATATAACAAAGAAGTCCTACACTGAGGTGAGATCAGAAAAAAAAAAATCTTTTTTCCCAAAAGTGCTTATTAAATATAAATATAAAAAATTATACATACTTTCAAAGACAAATAATATGTCTTTCTCTGCTTCTTGTATTCTGCTTCATGAGTGTTGCAAACTATAGAGGAATGTTTTTGGTTTGTTGCAGCAAGTTACAAATAATGTGCATTTCTAACTGCTAAGTTTTGAGTGTGAAAATGCTAGCAAGATATAGCTATCATAAAATGATGCTATTAAAATTTATGCTGAAGCATTTTTCGGCAAATCAGACTTTCCATTCAAACATCTGATGTACAGGGTTTGGGAGAGATTTTTGTGAGGTTAGGGTTCTTTTGAGATGCTAGTTCAGGCACTACCATGACATGTTTGTTTCAACATATCTTAATCTCCAGGTGATTCGGGATGTGATTGGTGTGCATATGGAAGAGCTCAGCAATCAGTGGCAGGAGGAGAACAGGTTGGATAATGCAGAGATATGTGAAGGAGGGAAGTCAAAGTCTTCAGGCAGGTATGCCACAGCTGACAGCTACTTCATGCATGAAGCAGATTGTAATTTTATCTTACCACCTTCTTCTAGTAGTACATACCAACCTTATCTGAGTCATATGCGTGGTTTATGTTATACAAATTCTATTAAATCTTTCTTGAGAAACTGCCTGCATGAAGCATGGAGAAAAATTAGTAAGTATCTTTCTTTCAGAGGTAAGTAGGTTAGTTGCAAGTTATTCAACTGAACAGGTAATTTCTGGTGGAGCTGGGGAATGAATAGTGCTTCCTCTGTGCCCAAATGTTGTAGCTGGGTACAGAAGGACACTTGGAAATACAATTACACAATTTCCTACCCTTCCCTACCACAACATGTGTTAGATATATTACACCTCAGAGTTACGGTTTCCATAGTAAATATGGGGAGGCTTTACAGTTCTTGTCCCTGCAAATGTTGCTGTGCTAACTGGGAGGGTGTTTTAGCTATACATACTTCTGCTGTGTCAAGCACACCATTCCAAATGTTTGTCACAGAAGTAAACATGGAGTTGTGACCTAGTGATTGCCTATTTGTGCCTCTTCAGCAGGTCTTTGAGAGGAGGATGTTTTTGAAACACACTAGAAAGTGACACTGTTCCCAGTATTAAAATTAAGATTAATGGGTAGCAGAGCACTGGAAGTCTGCCCAAGCAAGAGTTGGAGTCTCCCTACCTGGAGACATTCAAAACCCACCTGGACACATCCCTGTGTAACCTGTTCTAGGTCACTCTGCCTTGGCAAGTGGCGTAGACTAGAAGATCTCCAGAGGTCCCTTCCAACTCTAACAATCTTACGATTCTGTCATGTTCTCCAGCTGTATGTTGCAGCTTAAGGCAGGTGCTCGAAGAGTTAAAGATGTAAAGCAAAACAGAGTGAACCCCTTCTGTTGCCTCCAATTTCACAAGCAGAGGTGTTAAGACTGAGGAGAAGTGTTCATAGGAAATAATTGGATTAAATAATGTGCTGAGATATGGATATGGACTTTGTGCCTCTTTTGGGAGGTACTGTATTTCTTAGAGAGACAGGCTTAATAAAAGATATATCCTCTGTTTTACATCATTAGTATGTCACTATATTACAAAAGTGGTACTGGAAACAGGGACTCTGAAACTGTTTTTATTGATTAAAATCACTGAAGTTTATTTTCAGGAGGGAAGTCAGACGGTCAGCTTCAGTGGACTCACGGCAGTCTGGGGGAAGCAGTAAGGATATGGAGTGCACGAGACACAGGAGAGACACCAGCAGGAGTCCAAGTAAACGAAGGAGGAGTCATGAGAGATGCAAAGACAGAGACTCTTGGAGAAAAAGAGAGAGGTGAGCTGAAAAGTGACATCTGACTCCTGCTTCCAATTCAGGCAGTTGTAGCCATTTTCTATGAGAATTTAGTGCAGAGGTTGAGAATGTCTAGTCCAATTAAAAACTAGGCTAACTTCATGTGCAGTATGACAAGTCAGTGGCATGAGGCTTCTAAAAAAAACATATTGTGAGATCACAAACTGTGGTCCAGACTTCAGAATTTACTGTCACATCTGAAAGGTGGCACTTTCTGCAGCATGCTTGCCGGGCTGCAACAGTACTGTAACAGGCTGTTACTCCTTCATCAGCATGGTTAAATGGACAGTATGTTTCTCATCCACAACTAAGTGCCTGTCATGTCTAATGTTGATTTCTGCTCATTTGCTCTAGACCTTAATAAATATTATTTGTTTCACTAGTATGCATACATTAACCTTTCCATATCTGATGCTTCAAAACAATGCTGTTGCTCATCAGTACTTCTAGACATACAATTTAGCAAAAGAAAACAAATCTAGATCACATTTTCTAATACTGTCAACAAAGACATATTTACATCTGCAGGACCACAGGTGTGTTGGTCCTGTGTTTGAGCAGACATGAAGACTGTTGTGCAGAAGAAATGCTGCCTTGCCTCTTGCATTTGGGTAAATGCATTACATAACTGCGTGGATGGCAGTGATGGCTTGTCTCAAAGCTGGCTTCATTATGTCAGGATGTCTATTCATTATGTTCATCCTAAACAATTGCCCTCTGGCAGTGCATGACAAGGCTTGATTAAAGCAGCATGGAAAGTAAACTGTCAAAAAGCAGTTTACTTGCTTTCCTTAGAGGAGGACATGGCTACATTTAATGAGAGCTTTCTATTTTCCAAGTTGTTTTTCTCTTCAGACTCTGACTCTGAGCTAACAGCCCACACAATGTTTATGTTTTTGTTTCAGGGATGAAGACAAATATTACAATCATAAAAGAAGAAAGTAGAAACAAGAACCTGATGATTTTGTTTGTCAGCTGTTCAAAACAACTTCCACAAGAACTATTGTTACTGCTGTTTTGCTCAAGACAGTAAAGGTGTGCACATAATATTGGTGTTGCATCAGACCTGTGCTACTCGGAGACAAAAAGGTGCTATGGTTTGTCAGGATGGAAGCAGTATATTTCAGATTGTGTGTAAATCTGTAACATTTATACACCTATTAATAAATTATATTGATCTCTCATGTATTTGAGTTATTCTGACAAGGCTGAAGAATAAAATTTGTGAGAGGTTGTACTTACTGGCCTTCCTGGCCCATAGTGGATATAAAACAGAGCTAATCAGTGGAGTCCAGATCAGTTACAAACAGGGAATGCATGAAGAGAGTCCCCCCTCCTACCTAACACTCTTGCCTCTAGGTGACATTGCCTACTTACAGCATGTACCAGAGGGCAGATTTCAGAGTGCTCCAATAGGATAAAACATCTTAAACTCCAGCTGGACAGTTATATGGACAATAACACAAAAGTTAGTGTTCCTAAACTCATGCTCAAAGAAAATTTGGATCAATATAATCTGGAAAAGGTGATGAGAATGTAGCTGTCTACAGAAGCTAGGGGGGAGGCACCAAGAACAGTTGGAATATTGCTGAGTAGCATATTCAAATAGCAGGTGCATTTCCTTCCAGCAGTAACTAGGAAGACTTCCCATCCTGTGGACTAACATACAAATGTTTGTGATAGAGGTTGATAAAACAGACTGAAAACATGCAGATATTAAGGATGTACAGTTCTGTTAATTCCACACACAGTCTACTTCAGCAAGGTTAGTCACCATCAGCCAAGCTTCTTGCTTCAACAAAGTAAACAATTATAAGAGAACAAGATCCACCTTTCCTAAAATACTTCTGTTCAGTGTGCCAAGAGAGGGCACTTCATGTTGCTTCTAGTTGGGGCCTTCTCAATCAAAGGTAATCTTTCCAGTTTTACTGTAGCCTCTAGTCTCCTCTTTCATACCTCAGTTGTTTCTGCAATTAAGTGTGATTATCTGTCACTAAATATTTGGTCTTGTTTTGATGGATTTAGGCTTCTATACCTGCTACAGCAGTCTAACCAAACAACTCTGTGTCAGGTATTCCTCGTCTATGTGACAAATACAATAGCTCTTCCTGTCAGAAAACAAGATATATTTTGAAACATCTTTATTTAGACAAGTTTATCCAAAAATGAAAAAAGATACTTAAGTTCTGAAAGGGTTCTAATTAGAGGAAAAAAAATATGGAACTACTGCAGTCCTTGCATTGATTTTGTCTACCAGCTCGGCCACAGGGTTCACATTAAGTTCTTTCAGTAGGGTTTGGTAAAACTGTTCAAATAAAGCATGTCCAGGCAGACAAGGTAATCCAAGGACCAGCTGTATTTGTGCCAGAGTCAAAACGAAGTCAGAGCTACCAAAAGCATAATGAGACATGTTCCAGTTACAGCTGCCCTGGCTTAACTGAATTCCATGTTTTACTTAATGTTATCAAATGTAGGTAGGAAGCTCAGTAACAAAACAACTTTTGCTCAATTCAGTGTAAGAGTGAAGGGGTTGCTCCTTAGGGCTGGTCATCAGTATCTGAGAGGCTGGAGAACAATATAACCATGTATTGTTCAATGAACTTTCCCTGAAGGGCCATCTCAAGAGCAGGACAAAGAAAAGGAAGTCCCAGAGAAGAGGATCCTGTTCCGAAATGTGCAAATTACAGTACTTTGAACACAAATTTTCTTGAACTTATTTATTCCATTTATTTTTTCCTCTCACCTCATGCTGAAGAGTAAGGTTGATCAATAAAATACGAAGGAGTATGGCAGGAAGTGCCTGATCAGCACCATGCCAGAGTGTTTGTCCCTGGAAAGGAATAAACCAAAAATTTTAAATGGCACTTTCACATGGTAAATTGTAGTGTGTTGGAAAAGACACAATTTAGAGTTATATAAAATGCAAGAAAAAGAGGCAATTATTAAAAAGTGGTTCTTACTAAAAACTGTCAATCTTATAACTAATCATGAAAAAGTTCATTTGTATGCTCTTGTTTTGGAGCTCCCATGAACTTTGAGCTGGTGGCAATCTAAGACAGTATATGGAGTTTGCATGGCAATGTTTTTTGGGGGGTGGGGGGGTCACAGTGGTGCCTTCTGTGAGCTTCTGAGCTTCCCCCACGTTCTACAGAGCCAATGCCAGACAGCTCCAGGACAGACCTACTGCTGGTCAGGGCTGAGCCCAGCAGCAATGGTGGTAGCACCTCTGAGGTTGTGTTAGCCCATCATGCACAGAAAGAGCAATTCCAGAGAGATGGTGGCAACAGTTAAGTCTCTGTATGCAAACATGCTACGCAGGCAACACATGGAGGACAAGCCTGTTACAGATTCTTTTTAATTGGTGTAACTGCATTTCATGTGACCTGTGTGTGACTATGGATATGACAAGAGAACTCCCAGCCTCTCTCTCTGGTTTATGAACTATGTTAAATCAAAGAAACAGCCCAGAAGATGCTGCTGGTTCCCGAAGCTGTAAAATGCAGATGTTACAAGCCTGAATATAATAACTTCCTACAGGGAAAATTATACCACCCTATAGAGACTTCAATATTTCAGAGAAAGATGGATAAATAAAAATTTATCTTTTAACAGTGCAGATGTGGAAGTTGACAAAAAATAACTCTGTATGCTTTTGATACAATCTTAGTCAATCCTTACTCCTGTCATCATGGCTATGCCCAGAAGAAAATGGACTATTCACCTGACATTAAAGGCTTATGGAGAACCCAGAGGCAATCGACAGATTAAAAATTCCTTGCACAGATTTTTACTTACGCTTCTTCTTTTATTTCATGGAGGAATGCTTTAATTTCTGTCTCTGATATCTCTCCATCAATATCAGCCAAATACGAATAAAGGAACGAGAATGTTTCGAAGGGAATTCGAGCTGCTCCTCCTTCTGGGTCTCTTGTTAGGATCTCGCAGGCCTGTTTCATTGAACTCAGTAAGGACTACAGGGAGTTCCAGCAAGAAATTAAAGGAAAAGTATTAGAGCCAAGAACATCCTTGCATACCGTGAAAAAATCCACACTCTAAGCCATTAAAAGGGAAGGTAAATGAGATGAAGGTGTTACCATCGTTGCATAGCTTTAAACCCCAAATTTACTCTCTAGTGCAGGCCCAAGGATGGAAAAAATAACGTAGTCCTAGTAGAGGCAGGAGTAAAAAATACCAGAATCTTGTGATAGTCAAAGATTGCATAGGGTAATCTCTCTCCATTAGGGCCAAATTGCTATGTTCTGCTACCGTAAAAGCTCCAACATCACTGTACCTAGTAAAATATCTTTTTGTGTGTGTGTATATTACCTCAATGGTTCTAAATGAATTCTCAGCAGCAGTTAAGACAGACAAATCTACAACCCCCACAAAATGAATATAGGTTTGGTGATTTTATTATGATATTCTATTATATAATTTTTAGATTATATTTTGGCTGGTATTTACTGTTTCCCCTCTCTCTATTCAAGTTCCATTTTAATAGATAGTAGAAAAAGCACTGAGACAAAAAGCATTTAAAGAATATTTCAGTTTAGTCAACTGCCAATAACATCCAAGTTATCTTTAAAAAACATGCCTCAAATTATTTATTCCAAATATACTTTGAAAAAATCCTTCCTTTAATGTGGTGTTGACAATCCAGTGCCCTATGCATGCTGAGCTATATTGGAAAAAGTGTGGAAAAATTCAGCATTGAGTTTCATTCAGCCAAAGACTGGTTGGATACCACTAAAGAAACAAACAAGTAAAACCACACGCACAATATATATCCAAAATATAAAAACACATAAGCAAACCCACACAGGCTTTCTTTAACCGAAGTCTTAATATTTTTCACTGCAACTTTTTCAAAATTTACTTTTATATTTTCATTAACAAACAAGCAATGTCTATGTAAAAAGATAGTATTTTTTAACAGTAGAATAGAAATAGTTAAAATAAATGCATTATCTGTTTAAGATAGAGAAGTGTCATCTTATAATCCTTTACAGTTTTACTTAATGTATCTCCTCCCCTGGAAAGTTTCACAGGGAAAAGAGGCAGCTGACTCCATGACAGCCAACTCTACATTTTGCATTTGGCTACTCCTCTGCTGCTCTTTCTAGTCCTGCCACCCCAAACTGCCACCATCTCTCTCTCCCAACACAGCAAAGTTATTCATATCCATTTTGCCAACTTTGAAAGACAATTTAACAGGCTACCTGTGTGGTCATTTCTCCTTTTGTAAAGGCTTTTGTAAAAATACATTGATGCTTTACAAAAAAGATTCTGCAGACTGGTGCTCTTAAGACGTTCATATTTATCTACTCTTTTATCTCAGCTGTGACCTTGTTTGACTGTGAACACAATTTATAGCTGCAGGAAATGAATGTAAATTTCTTGTTTATGTCTTTCTCTCCAGTCTAGGAAACTGAAGTCTAGGTTTCATTATGTAGTACTGAAATAAAATAATTCACTTAATATCCAAAAGGATGGTGAGGTGGTGAAATTTAGTCTGTCTAGCTCCATCAGAATGATGTCACTGTGACTCCAGTTTTGGTTTTGTTTTTTTTGGGTTTTATTTGCAGGGAGAGAGGAGCTGTTGGTTTTTAGGTAAGTAATATTGCTGTTACTATTTTTAAATGAAGAAAAGAGCCCAAACAACAAGATCATTTTGGGAGGGAGACTGGAATCAAGAAATACAAATTTGAAATAAAGACAGACAGGTAGATAAACAGACAATTGCACAATTGCATCACCAGGCCAGGTTAATATTCAGGGCTTCCAGATACCGCAACAGTCATACAATATTATTTTACATATATTTTCTTTTTAGTACCTCTTCTTATCTACTGTAGAAATCATTAGAAGTATTATACTTTATAAAAACATCAGCTTAATGCATTTTATAATCTTTCATTCTGTTGAAATGCTCTGCTGAGATTTTATTACTGACATTAAAAGAATTAAGTGCAGCTGTAGTAACATTAAGTGCTGCTGAGAAAATTTAATTGGCTACACAATCAATTAAAAATTGGTTCTTTAATTTCTCCCTTCAGTTCTATTTCATGGACATTTACATCAGCATCATTCCTCCACCATCCTCTCTCACACAGTACAAGCTCTCTGCAGACACACTTGCTCTCTACCAAGGACTTAGCCATCCTTCTGGTTGAGTTACCAAGACCAGAATCTGATGGACAACAGAATTAAACACGCAAGCCACTTTGCCAGCTGCTGCAAAAGCAATCGCCATTCCCCAAATCCATCTGTATTAATTGTCCTATGATCTATCTTGTATATGGATCCTAGACAACCACTGTTTGGATATGAGGGCTCCTGCTGTGAACATACCTCACCAAGCACGCTGCACCCAAGTGCCAGAAACTTCATCCATTCCACCTCCTCACCAAAACTGTCCAATTCCAGGATAGCTTCCAGCTGCAACTCTGGCAAGCCCAAGTGCTTCCATTTTTCCCTCAGTTCTGCTATGGCCACCATGCCTTTGGAAGAAAGCTTTGAACAAAATCATGGTACAACAATAAGAACTCTGAAAACCAGAACTAATTTAAGAACACAGTGTCTGCCCAAAATATTTCAAATTCTTGACAGTCTCTCTCCCCAACCATCTCCAACACATCAGCATTTCTCAATAGCATTGTGCATTTGATAAAGAGCAGCTCATACCTGTTTGTGCAAGACCTTAAGGAGTCCTGGGGTCAAACCAGCATCTTTTTTCCCTGTTGCTAATGGCATTTCGAGCCTCTCCTTCACAGGAAGGGGTTCACCTTTAGACAAGGCTGAAAAATACCTAAGTGAATGGGAAGACCAACACACCTCAATGCCCATGGCCATTACAAACTGCACAGAAGTAAACGCTCTTTACTGTAAGAATCTGCAGGTTCCCCCACAGGAGCAGCAGAACGTGGTAAGCTGCCAACATGCACAACTTCCCATCTTCCTGTGCCCAGAAACCACCATCTTTAGACTTTACTTGCTCCTTTTCATGACACTCTAATAATTCTTAAGGCATTTAACTTACTTTGTGCATGATATATTCAGCTCTTTTGATTGATAAACCTGATATATTCAGCTCTTTTGATTGATAAACCTGAGGGCTTATCTGTTTGACATTCTCCTCGTGCACTACCCAAAATGTACATCTGTGTATTCATATTGCAACTTTCTTCTCAGCATTTCTGCTATTTCTATCCACCCCAAAATAAAATTAAGAGTAGAGCATAAATGGCATTGGATGCACATTGGATGCCTTAAGAGCTGCCTCTGCCTTAACTGGCCAGAAATCTGAATTGTGCAAGGAAAACTCAGTTTTTATTCAGATGTATCTAATTTACAAGTTTCTCCACTTGTCCTGCCTCATCTGCCCTGGTCATCCATGTCCATGTCCAGGTTATCCCATGCTGTGCAAATACCTGCTAAAATACAGAGCTGGCAACACTCCAGAACTGAATTAAGTGACTATAAAAATAGATGCACAGTGTGCATGTACATAAAACACCCGGGCTATGTTTCAGCCAGATCCATTTCCTCATCTGATTATTCACAGGCACAAGCACTATAACACCGGCAGCACGTGTGAAGCCACAGCTTTGCTCTGCGTTGCATGGCTCCCAGGGACAGATCTTGCTCTGCCAGGTACACCGGAGCCTGCCCCCTGAAAGAGAGGCTGCTTCACTGTTTAGGCAGAGGTCGGGACTGGCCTCGGCAGTGCCGGGCTGTCTCTGCCAGCCAGCCCCAGTCACAGCGGGCTCCAGCTACAGAGGCAGCCGAACCTCACGTCCATCACATTCCTAAGAGCGCCACACCATTTTAAGGTGGCCCTGCTGGCTTTCTCCAATACCGCACCGGTAACAATTCAGCTTCAGATTATTTTCTTTTTAACAGACAAGCCGGACTCCAGCCGGATAACAGCCTCCCCTCCCGTACAGACGTTTTCCAATCCCCCCAGCTGAGAACATCTCACAGATACTTGTCAAGAACTTGCCCACACAAACCATAGGGCAGGAAAAAATAGTGAGCAGTTGAGGTAAAAGAAAAAAGAATTGTTAAAGGAGAAACATTTAAACATCTAAATCAACTTTATGGCAAGAGATTTATTATGCTGATTATAATTTTAAAGGTGCAATTTTTCAGGCACTTTTCCCAGAAAGAAAGAAGAGAAACATAACCAGGCTTAAGAATTAAAAAGCTAATGTCTATTTTTTCCTTTAAATTCCAATAATTGAATCTCAGATGAGAGAAGAAAAACCAAACTAAACAGAAAAATAATTGGTCTTTCAGATAGAAAAACTAACAACAAAAAGCAAATTAAGATGCATTTTTCTGTATGGAAATTCAGCTATTTCAGAAGAAAGCCAGCCCTAAACTTCAAGGAAACAGAAAATAAATAAAATACCACACTATTTTTAAAAGGCTTACATGCTGCATTAATACAAAGAAGTGTATATGCAATGTATATGCTGATGTAATATTCAAAGCTATGTCCACTATACAATGAAGAGGAGAGTGAGGTTTTGACAGTCCATATGTATAGCTCTCTGTTTTAAGGTGAACATCATACTTACGCAGCTGCCCACTGCAAAACATCAAAAGGCTGGGTCCTAACAGCAGCTTTAGTAAATTGCTTCAGAATATCAGGTAGCTCCGGGGGGATTTTGATCTGCTGAGCACAGAACATGGTTTCTGGAAGAGGCATGGTGTCCAGTCACAGGGACCTGAAAGAAATAAAACAGCAGTTCACAGATGCAGAATGTGAATTAAAAATTGCATGTGCACATGGGAGTGAACAGTGCCTATCCCCAGATTCCCTCCTGTCCTACTCGATAGCTGGAGCTACAGGAGAGCTGACAGACTTGGAAGGATAAACAGACAAGCCCTGCATGGCTCTAAAAACTTTGTGGCTACACCAAGTAAAACACAGCAGCTTGGGCATCAATCACAGCTGGGTGAGAACTACTGCTTTAACAGGTTACTTCAGATAGTTTTAAACTGATCTGCCTCCTCAAACCTACCACAACAAAAATTTGTAAAATGGGCAGTCCAGACAAGTTGCACCACACATGCCAACATGAAAGGTATCTACATTGATAACTCACTACTGCATACCAAGGAAAATCTTGGCATCTCCCAGAGTATGCAGATGACCAAGTTTCTATGTGTTTATGTATATAAAAATGCTGTAGCAAAAAGTTACTAATTTGTACTTGTGACAGACTTTACATCAAACAATTACAGTAACAAACAAAACAATGTGTGTTGCAAACACATAAACTGCACTTTGCTCAAACAGCTCTACAGGTGCGTCTGTCTCATTCAGGATGTAACTCATTTGTTGCAAGGAATCCTGTTCCCCAGGATCCAAAAGGAGGGACAGAGATAGGCGATTGTATGGTCCTCCTCCCTTCACAGGAATGGGGCACATTTGGTGGGAAACTCTCCTTATCATTTCCAGGACAAACTATGGCATGCTTAAGTTGATTTAGCAACAAGAACCTAAAATGGTTAGTTATTTCCAGACAGGAGGAGCAGTAAAAGCAACAGCATTAAGAAAGGAATCAATGTAACAGAATTCCCCATCCCTTTAGACTTGTTTAATTTTTAAGATAAAATAACCTGGCAGGTGGCTTTCTCAAATGAATTTTCTTGTAGCGGAAAAGAAAAACATTAAAAGTCAGTGATAGAGCAATGGAACTGCTGTGGCTCAAGGCTTCTTTGAGGATCAAACCATACTCAGAACTTTATTTATGAAAGAAACGCAGACAGAGTACAGCATCTTCATCACTCCAATGCAGACAATCTGCATCAGGAACAGACCTCAGAGTGCGCATCTAACTACCACATTGGTCATGCGCTTTTAGTAATGATTCAAAAACACAGCTCTAGCCAAGGAACTGAAGCTGAAGGCAAAAAAAGCTGAGAATTTCAGGGCAACAGAAAAACTTTGAGGAACAAATACAGGTATGTGTACAAGTACCCCTGGGAAGAAGTTAAATAAAAATTAAAATATAATCAGAAAAAAAAAATATGCAGTGCAAGAGCTGCTTTTCTAAGTAAGCTATTAGTCACAGAGTCTCACAGAAGGGCAGAAGTTGCCAGAGACTTCCTGGAGCTCAGCTGGTCTGATCCCCTGCACAATCTGTGAGCAGAGTACCAAAGATCCAGGTGTGTTTCAAAAATCTCCAAGGATGGAGACTCCACACCCCCCTGGGCAACCTGTGCCAGTGCTTGCTCACATGAAAAAAGAGTTTCTCGATGCTCAGAAGGAGCCTCCTGTATATATATACATACACCTAATGGTCAAAGAAAAGCACAGCTAGATCAGGCAGCCTCTGCACCCATTCACCATCCTCACTCTGTCATGGGTTATTCTCGCTAGAGAAAAAGACCAGCTCATCACTTTCACTTCCTTTTAGGTCTAACTTTCTCATTTTCTTCCTTGCACGCACCCCGAGCCAGCCCCAAGTGCTCAGGAAACAAGGCCAAGGAGTGTCTGCAGGCAGACAGCGCCGGCCGAGCCGCGGGACCCGCGGCCCATCCGCCCCGAGCCGCGGGAGGCGGCGGCCCCGGGGGAGGCCCGGCCCCGGCGGCGGCCCGGCCCCGGGGAAGGCCCGGCCATGCGGGGAAGGCCCGGCCCCGGCGGCGGCCCGGCCCCGGCGGCGGCCCGGCCCCGGCGGCGGCCCGGCCCCGGGGAAGGCCCGGCCCCGGGGAAGGCCCGGCCATGCGGGGGGCCCGGCCCCGGGGAAGGCCCGGCCATGCGGGGAAGGCCCGGCCCTGGGGAAGGCCCGGCCCCGGGGAAGGCCCGGCCATGCGGGAGGCCCGGCCCCGGGGGAGGCCCGGCCATGCGGGAGGCCCGGCCATGCGGGGGGCCCGGCCCCGGGGAAGGCCCGGCCACGCCGCGGCCTCGGCCCGGCCCTCACCTGCCCGCGCCCGGCCCCGCCGCCCCGGCAACGCGGGGGACGGGCCGGGGCGGGGAAAACTTGAAAACGGTGGCGAGGTTTAAAGGGACAGAACAGCCTGGTTTGTACTAACTTTCGAAAAGGCCCAAACCACGGATGAAGGAATTGAGTCTGCCATTGGTAAATGCACAGACTGCAAGGTGGGTCGGAGTTGGCCGGAGGGCACAGCAGCTGGACATGGGCCAGCAGTGGGCCCAGATGGCCGACAGGACCAGTGCATCCCGGTCTCGAACAGCAGCAGTGCGGCCAGCAGGATGAGGGAAGTGATGCTTTCCCTGTACGCAGCCCTGGTGAGGCTACACCTGGAATCCTGTGTCCTCTCACTTCAGGGAAGAGCTGGAGTGTGCTGCAGGGTGTGCAGGGAAGGGTGACAAAGCTGGACAAGGGTCTGGAGCACAAGTCCTATGAGGACCAGCTGGGGAAGATACAGAGTTGTTTAGCCTGGAGAAGAAGAGACTCAGGGGTAACCTTATTGCACTCTACAACTGCCTGAAAGGAGCCTGTAGGCAAGTGAGGGTTAGCATCTTCTCCCAGACAACCAGTGACAGAGTAAGTAGTCTTAAGCTGTGGCAGGGGACATAAAGACATTTTGGTTGGACATTAAGAAAAGTTTCTTCACAGAAGGGGCGATTAGACCACGGAAGGGTCAATCCAGAGAGGCAGTAGAATCACCATCCATGGCAGTGTTTAAGGAGAGTGCATGTGGCACTTAGTACCATGGTCTAGTTGCTAGGGTAGTGTTCGGTCATAGGCTGGTCTTGATCTCAGACATCTTTTCCATCTTTTCTTGATTCTGTGATTCTGTGAACATCTTGGCACCATGTAAGTGGCAGAGCCCATGGCAGGGAGGCTGGTTCCTGCAGGTGCCTTGGTTCCCTGTAGGCTGCTGATTCCTGCATGTCCCCTGGCCACAAGGATGTTCTACTGGGTCAGCAGTGTTAGGGAGACACACCCATCTTGCCTTTGGCATCCTTGCACCTCCTTTCCTGGCTTGTATGAAATGTGGAGAAATGCTGAGTGAGTTGGAAATGAGATAGGGTATCCCCAGAAATTCCCTTTGCTCGCAGCAGCTGCTGCTTCCAAGGACAGCTCAGCCTCTGCTGGTCAGGCTCCACAGTCCGGGACATTTAGGATAGCAGCACCACTGAGAGACTGCCACCATGGAGAGCAGCACAGCCAGTGCTGGCTGCTTCTCAGCATCTGCTGGTCCAAATTGACACCACAAGGCAGTGTGGGCTATCCCACTGCTCCAGAATGTGAGGAACTTCTTTCCACTGCAGATATAAACAGCACCAGAGGTAACCTGATTGGCATCCTCTATAAAGACACCAGCAGATCTCTTGGTTACAAAGCAATACCCCTTCTGTACCTGCTAACATGGATTGTACACAGCCTGAGCACTCAAATCAACTTGGTAATAGGATTATTCACTTCAGAAAACCTTCACAAGCCATTGCTCCAAAGAACTTGGGTGCTGCATTTTCAAAACAGGCCAAGCAATCTTATTTGAAGCCAGGCTTTTTTAATCCACATTATGTCCCTGCTGATGAACATGCAAGGCCATGCAGGACAAAGATAAAACGGTGAGCTCTGGAAAGCAATAAGCACACATTTTAACAACTGTTTAATCTTTCATAAAACAGGAATATTAGCATAAGCTACAGGCTAATTATTTGGCCTCAAAATACTTTGTAGATTCCTGTAACTAATGAAAACCGCAAACTTCTGGCATATAATGACATACATTTCTATCCTTTAGTTGTTTTAAAGCATCTACTGATTTAAAAACACCGTAGCAAAAAAAACATGATGCAAACATTATCCTGCAGGAGCTTATGGAATAGAATTCAATTAAATTGATTTCACAGTGCAGTTTTTTAAATGTGTCTAGTGGTAACAGCTAAACAGCAAGTTGCATATTATCTCTCATCTGTGGTCCTTGCACACACTCAACACTATCCCTAAAATGCTCCAGAAGTAGATGTCATACTCTTAATTCTTCCAGCAATTTGGTCCAGTGCAGTGAAGTCATGCATAAAGCTGCCACACTGTATTATGGGAAACAGCAGCATGTAGGTAGAATTTTTTTTTCTGTATTTAATGAAACGTATTTTCATAGAATCATAGAATGGCCTGGATTGGACCTTAGAGATCACCTAGTTCCAACCCTCCTACCACAGGCACAAGCACTTCACTAGACCAGGCTACTCAGAGCTCCGTCCAACCTGGTCTTAAACATTTCCAGTGGTGGGGCATCCACATCTTTTCTGGGCAAATTATTCCAGTGTTTCATCACCCTCACAGTAAATAATGTCCTCCTAACATCTGATTAAACTCCCTTTCAGTTTCAAGTCACTCCCCCCTTGTCCTGTGACTATATGCTCTTGTAAACACTGTCTTTATATGAATCTATGCTGCTTCCTAGAAGTATTTCCTCACACTGTTTAACACCGAGTCTTGTATATAAAGAACATTTAAAAGTATATACACAGATGTAATTGTTGCTTTATAGCAGCACGGCCAGAAATGCTGCTACAAAGCAGCTTACCTTAGAATGTCTGCTGCTTCCAACTTCCATGACTCCTGCTAACAACTAGTCAGAATATCCCATGGACTCTCCATTCTAATACAGCAGTATTTTCAGATTCATCGCATTTCTTACCTAACTCTTACCAATTTGTATCTGCTGAACATGGCACACCAGTGCAACTCTGCACTATAGGTTCTAATACAGAAACTCTGTCCAATATAAATAAAAGCTTTGCAGTGTTCTCTGGTTTTATAAGCAACAAGGAATTCTAAGTAAAACTAATGTCCTTTTCCAGGAACACTTGAAAAAGCCCTTGAAAGGCAAGTAATGTTAAATACCACTCCCTCCTCCCACATCTGATGTAGACACCTCCAGATGTTTGACTTCACCTTGTACAGGGGAAAAAGCCTCCAGCTTTGGTGTTGGCCAGTACTCAACAGGCAAGAGATAATAGCAGATAAGCAGATAAGCAGAAAAACTGATATGCAGAGCTGTGAAATAATTTTGCCATTGCTCCACTCTCGGTTTTATACTGAACTCAAAACATTCAGTTTATTTTGAAATTTATTTGACCTCTGGAAATACAATATTTTAAAGTTCTCCATTATTGAGTAACTTTAATTTCTGCATATAATTTCTCAATTTATGGTTACTTCTTAATGAAGACGTTAAAACCAGATGCACAATTAAAAAAAAATGGCTGTTAACTATGCTGTTCTTTAGTTCCAGCTACTAATTAAGAACTGAAATACCACAGTAAGAAAGCTCTGACTCACCATTATGCTTTGTAGAAGTTTTTTCCTCATCTGTTTCAGAAAACAGCTTATTTTGTTTTGCACCCTCAACTTCATCACACTACCAAGATTCAATTCCTTGTTTAACGTTTTTATTGTTTGTATCATCATTTCTGCCAAGGACCTCACTCATTGCCCAAGCTGTACCATGGCCATTATTCCCAAGGCAGGCAGAACAAGAACACTGATCCTACTACAAAACCTTTTAAATCTGGATGTAAAAAAATGGACAGTGTCGTCCAAGGAAACAAAATGATACTGATCAGCATGACAGGCAATGAAACCCAAGTCATTTGTGCTTTGTGAGGTACAGGCCTTTGCGAAGCTTTTTACAGAATACTTTGAAGAACAGTGCAGCTGCCGTGAAGGTCTTTTATGAAGACCTTTACGCAAGCATAGGGGAAGGCAAGGAAAGAATTAATACACTGAGCTGAAAAGTGATGTGAGCACTGTAAAAGGTTGGAGCTGGCGTCTTACTCAGGAAGTCACTGACACAAAGCAGTTACAGGTACCGAAGGGCCCTCAGAAACAAAATCAAGTAACTTTAGCTTCATTGAATAGAGAAGGGGCAGACAGAAAAGATGCAGAGTTTTAACTATTTTTAATCAATATAAAATAACCTGTGTAAAAATGTTAAAGTTAAAGCTAGCTGCAATTAACTTTATTCAATATGCACAAGATAGCTACAGAGCCATCTGACACTTCTTGGATGAAGGCCTGTGGAACTAACAACAGCATCAGATTCTCAGTTCACAAAGGGGATACAACTGAGCCATACACATCTCCAACCCCTCCAGTCAAGACCAAGGTCAACACACACTGTGACCGCACACACACACACACTTTCCCACTTGAAAAGTAACAGGAGCACAAACCACTCTGCATTACTCCAGCACAGATGGAAGCCACTGGTACAGCACTCATCAGCTGTCTCAGAAAGAGCCACTTAACTTAAAAGCTTACTTATCAAGTTTCTATGCCAAGGGAGTACACGGCACACAATAAGGCAAACCACTGAAATGTAAAACAATTTATAAAGTACTGCTATTTAATTCCTGTTCTCTACAACCTCCATATTAATTCAAAAATGTGTAAAAATGAAGAGATGAGATTTCTGGAAAGTTCACATTGGACAGTTCTGGAAACAAACTTCACCTGGGATCTGTAAAGCAGTGCAAATGCCAGCACAACAGCTGGATTTGAAACCAGTTTTCCATTAAAAAAAAAAAAAAAGGCAAATAAAAATACTGTAAGCAACATCAAAATAGCTGCAGTTCACATTGCATGACTGGCCTGATTTGCTATTTTCTTTCCTGACTTGTAAAATACCAGTAGTGAGAAACAGCACAAAGGCTTTTTCTTAATAAATTTTAATATTAACACCAGTTTGTCTGGATAAAAACACAGTTGCAAGCACCACACTACTGTAAATTCTGCATGATGCACAGTGGTGCTCGCAACATTTGAGTGGCAAGACCATTTTGGAACTGTTTGTGAAAGATATGTCAAAAACAGAATCTTGGCCTAAGTAAGAATGTATATTACCAGTGAATTTATTATTGTGAAAATATATATGTCCCACAATGTCCACCACTGTAAATAATCAAATGCAATATTTATGCACATCAAAAATATATGGGGCAAATATATACTCAGATCAGCATTAAATCAGCAACAGTAA